ATGTGGTTAGTGATATTTCGGCATAGATCAATTGGTCTTCACATGTCAAGTCATGGTGTCTAGGAGTAATAATATGAATTTAAGCATTTAATCACATCGGGTGTATTTTCCACAGAGCAGACTCTAACCCACTCGTAGTGCAGGCTGGGAGCTGGCAGTGGGAGAGGGTGGTGTTTCCAGTGTCTTCACTCTAGTGAAGCTGAGCTTCTGCCTGCTTTACAGAAATTCTCAAAGTCATAGGTCTTTTGTTTGTTTTGAGACAGAGTCTATGTAGCGCAAGCAATCCTTCTGCCTCCGCCTCCCAAGTGCTGGGATTCCAGGCATATGCCACAATGCCCAGCATATCTTGTATTTTTTTAAAAAAATATTATTTTTATTTTATGTGTATGAGTGTTTTGCCTGTGTGTAAGTGCATTCGTGTTGTGCAGTTCCCACAGAGGTCAGAAGAGGACTTCAGGTCCTCTGGAACTGGAGTTATGGACAGTTGTTAGCTGCCATATGAGTGCTGGGAATCAAACCCGGGGTCCTCTGCAAGATCAGTCAATGCTCTTAACCGCTGAGCCATCTCTCCAGCCTCTATCATGTTTTTTTTTTTTTTTTTTTGGTCTTTTTGAAACAGGGTCTCCCTGTAGCCCCAGCTGTCCTGGAACTCACTATGTAGATCAGGCTGGCCTTGAACTCAAAGAGATGTACCTGTCTCTGCCTCCTGAGTGCTGGGACTACAGGTGTGCACCACCATGCTTGGCTTCTCATGTATTTTTTTTTTAATTTCTCATTTTTATTTTATGTGTATGAGTATATTGCCTGCATGTATGTAAGTTCACCTGCGTTGTGCAAAGACTGCAAAAGCCAGAAGAGGGCATCAGATCCCCTGGAACTGGAGTTACAGAGAGTTGTCAGCTGCCATGTGGGTGCTGGGATTCGAACCTGGGTCTTCTGCAAGAACAACCAGCATTCTTAACCGCTGAGCCATCTCTCCAGTTCCTCTGTATGGAGGAACACCATACATGTACTTTTATCTATAAAAATTTTTTTTGTCTTTTTGAGACAGGGTCTCACTGTAGTCCCAGCTGGCCTGGAACACTATGTAGACCAGACTGGCCTTTAATTCACAGAGATCTGCCTGCCTCTGCCTCCCCAGTGCTGTGATTAAAGGTGTGCACCACCACACCCGGCTCCATTAAAAATTTTTAAATAGCTGGGTGTGGTAGCACATGCCTTTAGTCCCAGCACTTGGGAGGCAGAGGCAGGAGGATCTCTGGGAGTTCAAGGCCAGCCTGGTCTACACAGTGAGTTCCAGGGCAGCTGGGGCTACAGGGAGACCCTGTCTCAAAAAGAGCAAAAAAAAAAAAGAAGAAGAAAAAATTTTTTTAAATAGATGCTGGTGAGATGGCTCGGTGGGTGAAGGCTTTTATCACCAAATTTGAGGACCAGAGTTCAATTCCTGGGACCCAGATGGTAGAAGGAGGGACCCAACTTCTGTCAAGTTGTCCTCTGTCACACACATTGTGACATGCACATGCCCATGCATACAACACAAACTAAATAAATATAATAAAAGATTAAATGTATATCCTTTGACCCAAGACTTCACAGTGTTAATTAGCCCCTTCATACATGCTCCCCTATCTCTGCTGAGAAATAGAGCATCACTTTTTTTTTGTAATAACAAGTTAGAAATATGTGACTGTTTTAGTAAATTATGGTGCACCACGTAGAAATTAAAAAGACTGAGAAATCTATATGCACTGATGGGAAAGACCATCAATTCATGTCATTAAATCAAAGACCAAAAGACACATGTAATATATGTAACATTTACAAATGAGTGGTCAAGCTGGGCACGGTGGCCCACATCTGTAATGCCAGCATGTGGGAGACAGGCAAGAGGGTCAGGAGTTCAAAGTCATCGTCCACTGCACAGTAAGTTTGAGCACAGCCAACCTTTTATCTCTGCCCCGCAAAAAGGGGTATAAGCAAAATATTTTTTTCTGGAAAATGAAAAGAAACTTAAAAGCTGAAGAAATGGATAGAGAATGGAGGTGGGCGGGAAGGAAGATGTACACTTCCTGCATGTAAGAAATAGAAAGCAGGAAAAATGATGAAGAACTGACCTCAACAGAACAAGCAGGAGAGCCAGCTGTGGCTGAGGGGAAGTGCCATCTCAGAGCAGCAGCTACAGAGCTGTCTGCTCTGGATGACACGTTCAGTGCATGCGAGGCTCTGCATTTGATCCTCAGCACCACCAAAAATAAAAAGACATCTGAAAATATGAACTCGAAATGAACTTATTTTTTAAGAGAAATAAGAACTAATACACAGACCCTCATCAAAGGGAACAAGAAGATGTATCAAAGGATGTATTTCAGAAAAAAACGATTATTTCAGATGTTAAAGTTAGAGATGTAACAAGGGTGGGTGAGGAAAGGCACTGGTAAACCTGGTTCTATGAGACCAACAAAGCACCCTGGGATCTGACAGGCTGAGTCTACTGGTAAGGAAGAACAAGGATGTGGTCAGAGCCAGAGTCTCAGAGGACGAGGACTTCCCTGAAAGGATGCTGAGATTCATAAATTAAAATAACAAAGGCAGCAAGTGACTAATCAGCACAGCAGAGAACAAGCCTCCAAAGGAAGGAACAGAGGTCCCCAGCAGGCCAGGGGATGTGACAACTTGATTTATGATGAGAACAGTGGGAAGAAGTTTCAGCTGATCCACTGAGGGAACTGAGGCATAAAAAACAATAGCTATCAGGAAGATTAATTTTTGTTTTTTTTTTTGTGGTGCTGGAGACTGAATCCAAGGTCTAGTACATGCTAGGCAGGTGCTCTGCCATTGAACCTCATCTGCATCGGCAAGTAGCAAATTTTACTATGTTAGATTAAGGTTTCTGCTCATCAAAAGATTATCACACAAATAAGAAGAGCCAAGAATGAGGAAAAATACTTGCCATACATATAACAAAACATATGGTGAATCTCCAGGGGTGGAGAGCCATTGCAGGGCTGTGGTGACACAACTGAGTTCTGTAATGAAATTCCAGCCCAGATACTGGAATACTACTTAGCAAGGAAACAGGAAGGAGATAACACCATGCATTAACCTTGCTGAATCTCAAAAACATGTTGAGTGAGGAAAGCAAGATAGAATCTGTGCAATAAAATTCTAATCATGGAAGGTTCAAATGCAGGAAAAACAGTCTCCATTAAAACCCACAAAGAACTGAAACTGGGCCAGCAAGATGGCTCAGTGGGTAAAGGTGCTTGCCACACAAGCTTCACAACCTGAGTTTGATCCCCAGAACCCATGTAAAGGTGAAAGGAGAGAACCGACTCCACAAAGTTTGTCCTCTGACCTTCAGATATGCACCACGGCATATTTGTCCCTACACACAATCACACACACACACACACACACACACACACACACACACACACACACAAATAATAAATACAATACAGTCAGAAGTGATAAAAAACACCAAACTTACATCAACAGCTATAAGTCCAAGACATTCCAAGTCTACAAGCAAATGAAAACCTCACACCTAAAAACACTCCATGGAATCTGTAGACATCAAAGGCAAAGAGACCTTTGGAAGGAAGAAAAGAAAGTTCAGAAATCTGGGCTTAGACTGAGCTTTCCACAGGAGCATGGCCGTCCGAAGACAGTGAGATTGTATATTTATGAAAAGAACTACTATGTGCCTTGAAAAATAGGTTTAGTGACAAAATTAAAATATACATTTTTTTTTGTCTTTTGAGACAGGGTCTCCCTGTAGCCTGAGCTGTCTTGGAACTCACTATGTAGACCAGGCTGGCCTTGAACTCACAGAGATCCACCTGCCTCTGCCTCCCGAATGCTGGGATTAAAGGCGTGTACCACAAGGCCCGCAGAAGTGATAACTTTATAAAGAAATTAAGTAATTGAAGTTTAGTATAGGAGTTAGCAGGGAGAGGGATGGAAGGTATAGGAAGGGGTGACTGGTGAGGGGCACCCAACTGCACTAGGTATTGGTAATACTCTGCTTCCTAAATTGAGGAGTGGCATAAATGCTCATTTTACTTTTTATTTTTTGGCTATTTGAGACAGGGTTTCTGTAGACCAGGCTAGTCTCAAACTCATGATCCTCCTGCCTGAACTTCCTAAGTGTATTTTCTTCTTTAAATTCTGTATTAATATATAAAATATATACACATATTTATATTTCATGGGAAAAAAAGCATGCATATATATCTTTGACACGTGTTCTGCTATGTGGCCTGGAACTCACTAAGTAGCCCAGGCTGGCCTCAGACTTGCAGCCCTTTTCCTGTCTCTACATCCCAAGTGCTGGGATTACAGGAGCGTGCTGCCATGTTCAGCCCTCACATGTATCTTTTGAATGTTATGAGAACACATTATAGACCAACAGGAAAATAAATTATCAATGAATGGATTTATGATGAAATTCTCTATCTTCTAATCCATTACGAACATGTATCAGAATGACATATTAATGCCAGGTGTGGCGGCACAAGCCTTTAATTCCAGCACTCAGGAGGCAGAGGCAGGTGGATCTCTGTCAGATCTAGACCAGGCTGGTCTACAAAGTGAGTCCAGGCCAGCTGGGGCTACAGGGAGACCCTGTCTCATAAAAAAAAGAATGAAATATTAAGGCAGGATTCAGACAAGCCTAGAAGTACAGCTCACACAGAGGGACAAGCATGAGATGCTATGAGGTCACATGACATCACACCACCCTGCCCCCTTCACAAGTAAAAATTGCATGTTACTTAACTCAGCTAAACAGAAAGGAGTACTGACAGCTGCTTTCCATGCAAGTATGAACCATCCCACTGCAAACGATTAAGAAGTGTGTGCAAACGTACTACGGTGACCTCTGAACACACCTGGAAAGGAGAAGTCTTCTGATAAGCGTGTTTACTTTGCTTCTGAAGAAAAGATACCTGCTTCCAGTCAGTTGGCGATCCTCTTTCAAAAGCCCTCTAAATGCTCACCTGTGCTTCACCATTTTTTGATCGTGGCAAAAGTGGTTAAAGAATCTCGCATAGAACAAGTGCATGACGGCATGCTCTTTCCCTCCAATGTACAGATCCACAGGCATCCAGAAGTCTGCCAGCTCTGAGCTGAAAGGACTAGAAAGACAAATTGGCATTGTGAATCTTGCTCTGCCACACCCGCACACATTAGATAGACCTATCTTAAATTACACAGGCCCCGAAATGAGTTATGTCAGGGAAAAAGTTATTTTCTTTTTATAAGAGAAATGCTGATAAAAGAAAAAACAAACAAACAAAAAGACAAACAAAAACAAAAAAGGAAAACAAACAAAAAAGATAAATGCTTATATAATAACTGTAGAAAAGATCTACACTTGAATGGACTCCCATAACTTGTCCTCTGACCTCCATGCATGTGCTGTGGCATGCATGAGTGTGTGCGCACACATAACATTATAAAAAATGTAATTTTTACATAAAGTGAGGACAGGAGAAAAAAATATCAGCAAAAAGGCATCTCTGTATAAAACATATTTGAAAATCTAGGTTTTATTTTTATTATTAGGAAATTGGGATTTTTGAATTCTTACCAATAGAGGGCAATAGTGGCGTTTATAACAGAAACCAACATGATACTAAATGTTCTTGTTAGGCAGAAATTCAATTTCTTTTGTTTTTTGAAACAGGGTCTCCCTGTAGCTACAGCTGGCCTGAACTCACTATGTAGGCCAGGCTGGCCTTGAACTCAGAGATCTGATTGTGTCTCTGCCTCCCGAGTGCTGGGATTAAAGGTGTGGGCCACCACGCCCAGCTTCAATCTCATTTTTAAAAGTAGCTTTAGAATAGTCAACAGGAGCCCACACATGGTTCCTGAAGGGATGAATTTACAGGATCTCACTGCCATAAAAAGCCAGCAGCTCCCCCACCTAGTAACTGCTTCTTGGCCAAGAGACACCAAACGCAAGGTCCTCACACTCCCTGGCCTAGTGGACATGGAGGGAAGGACTCTCCAGGTTCTCTATTTCCACCCCTTGGGAAAGAACCAGCTGGCTGGAACAGACCTCTGTTCCCAAAGTCATCCTTCCTTTGAGATCAAATGAGGAAACCTTTACTTTGTGAGACTCTCTACTCTGGGGTTCCAAAATGTAGTTCTCTCCGCAGTAGTTCAAAGTATTTTTTCCTCAGCATGCTCTTGGCTGGCTAGCTCTGAGATTGGAAAAAGAAACTGTTGCTGGCAGGTGGGGCAGCCTGGTCAAGCACAGCATGCACCACACACTGGCATCTTAGAATAGGTCACTTACAAAACCAAACCTTTTTTTTTTCCTTATGGAAAATGGTTTCCTAAAGAAATTCAACTGCTGCTCTAGGAAACAGTAAAGCCAAAGTCAAGGGTAGTATTCAGTCCATGAACAAGTTTGGGATAAAAGAAGTTAAATGTTCATTTACACTCTTCCCATGAAGCCACCCTGGAGGGCACCAGCCAATGCTGAATCTGGGGCATCATGCCAGGAGGGACACGAAGCCCTTGCTCTTCACAGGGGCTGCACAGAGCTCAGCAGGTGGTGCCACCCAGGTCCTCCATTCTGCAGGATCTTTCCTTAGAAGCAGCCTGAGAAGGGAAAGCTCCCCTTGCCCCCCTCACACCCCTCTGTGGGTCAGAGAGAGCTGTCTTGGGTTCCTAGCCATAGCAGTCTCCTTGCATCCTTCCTGTTTATAGGGGGCATTTACTTATGATCCCACTCATTTCTGAAATGAACTCAGATTATGGACTTGTGATTCTGCTGGTCAGTCTGAACATCACCACAAGCATGTGACTGAGCTGTCAACAGAGCAAGGGAGTGCAGTACCCTTTGCTTGTTTTTGAGACAGGGTCCCATTCTACAGACCAGGCTGCCTTGAATTCACAATCCTTCTGCCTCAGCTTCCTTTGATGTGACTACAGACGTGTCACAATGCCCAGAAAGGAAAAATTTTATATGTGGACAACACAGTTCCACATATAAGCAAGTTGCTGAGGTCCTTAATACAGTATTTGTGATCTCCTGGCTCAGGAATAGTATTCTTTAGCTCCCATTCTGGCTTTGCCCCCCTCCCCACCTTTGTCAAAGAAACAACATAGTGAAAAGTCAACAGCACTTGAAAGGTTTGTTGTGAAAACCAGTGGTCTCAGCCCATTTTCCCTGCACCCCAGGCCTGAACATTAGCCACTTTTAACTCTTCCTTTTTGACACAGGGCCTTATTCAGTGAAGGCTGGCCATGAACTCTTGATTTTCCTGCTCCCGTTTCCTAACTGCTGGGATTATAGATATGTCCCACCGCACCCAGCTTCCACTTTTAATTCTTTGGTTGTTTCTTCTGGCAATTATTTTAAAACATTTCTACTCTATTGATTTCCACTTTAGCAGATCTATTGACTGTGGTAAGAGGCAAAGCTTCTTAGTGCTCTCAAACTCCTGGCTCTCTGCCTCCAGGCACAGTTCCATGACAAGACAGCATGCAGAGGGCATGGCAGACATATTTCCTTCTTTTGCTGTTTTTTGTTTGCTTGTTTGTTTATCTTACAGTTAGGATTTACTGGGCTGTGAAACCTAACTTAGTAATTTAATATATTTGCTTTAAGAGAGCCTTCCCCCTCTGGTGTAAGGACTCGAACCCCAAGCTCTCCCGTGCTAGGCAAAGGCTCTGTTCCTGAGCTTCCCCAGTTCAAGAACCTGGTGTGAAGTGCACAGCTGACCAACAGTGCCCACCACTGTGTCCACTCTGGTCCAGTCCAGGGGACAAGAAGGTAGGTACCAGCACAGAGCCACATCTGCCCACTTTGGGTTCTGAATGGACATGTGCACTGGGGCATTCTTCCCCCCAGCTGTGCTGAGGCTCTTAGAGACTGCTATGATGGGAGTGGGGTTCCTCCACATCCTCCTCCTCCTGTTGCCTCTTGAGTACCAGTTACATTGTCTAGGTGCTCTCTCTGCTGGCTTAGCTTCACCCTCTATCCTGCCCGGGCATGTCCCTGGCACCTCCCTTGCACATCTAACTCCATCTTGGTTTCTTGGAGGATGCAAAGTGCCACATGCTACAACTCCAGCAGGACATTACCTACAAGGATTGTGAGGGTCGGTGTATCTGAGGTAGTACCATGCAGAATCTACAAAGGTGTCCATGGTGTCCGTCTCTCTCTTGGCTGATCCCTTGCACCTGAAAGGAAGTTGATGAATTGGTTTCCTTCTAGATTTTAATGCGGTTTCCCACCAGCTAAACTTCAAAGGCACAGAAGCAGAGTAAGCTGCCCCACCCACTACTGCATTTTGGGCAGTGTAAGTTCTAGAGGAGGGGCTTCTGGAGAGTTGGGGGAAGAGGGATGGAGTCCCCTAGAGGAACTGATGGATCGTCCACTCATTGAGCACATAAATTGGGACTGTTTTCAATTTTAAATAAAAATAGGTTGTGTTTTACACTTTGCATTTGTAAAGTAGTCCATGTTGGCTTTATGAATATTACAGAGTGAAGCAGTCTTCCCACCCCCACCCCAGGCCAACCGATCAAAAGGAGTAGCTCAAGACAAGTTGTAGTGGTGTATACTTTTAATCCCAGCACTCAGGGAGCAGAGACAGGAGGATCTCTGAGTTCAAGGCCAGCCTGGTCCACATTGGAGTTCCAGGCTAGCCAGGGCTACACAGTGAGATGCTTTAAAAAAACAAAAACAAAACTAACAAAAGGAGTAGCTGAGGAAGAGCACAGACCCTCACATCTGTGTTTTAGTCAAGGTGTTGCCCACAGGACATGGTGGAATCCCTCAGGACAGGAGTAGTCAAGAAGTCCCAGGAATCCCACCTGGGATCTCAACACTGAGTCTCTAAAGTCAGGCCAGATCTTTATTTGATTGAATCTTGCTTTCCATTAAAGATACCAGTTTGGGATATAACTGGGGGACAAAGGGACTTTCTCTTCTTTGCCTGACTTGCAAGTCTCGGAGGAGTGCTGAAGAAGACAGAGGCTCACTAGACAGAAGGAATCACATCTGGCTGCCTCTCACCACGCTTACTTTCTGGTATCTCCTTGGGCTTGAAGACTACAAGCAGTTGTTAACCACTGATACCAAGCCCTGGACAGGGAAGAAGCCATGAGAGGGCAGGTGACAGGCACAGGATCACCAAATCAGTTTGAGTAGGACTGACACAATCCTGGGCACTGGGAACTAGGCTGAAGGTGTCTCAGCTGCTATCTCGTCTGGTCCTCAGCACACTGAGAATTATGAGACAGAGATAACCCCCATTCCCACTTTGTGGGTAAGTAGTAAGCATTCAGAGAGGTTTAGACACAGGGCTAAGGACTTAGAACTCAAGAATAAATGCATAAAGAATCCTCATCTGTTAAACCCAAAGCTGCTGTTTGCACCTTGGTGCCATCCTGTTTGGTTCCACAGGCTCAGTGATTCACACAGCCCTGGATGCTCGTGAGCCCTGGTCAGTGTAGAGGCATAGGCTCTGCTCTCCAGAAATCCTGCAATCCTGTAGGAAGCCATATTACCACAAAAAGTGCAATGATGCACTGAACACGGACCTCGGTCTCTGGCAAGGGAGGCTTTTGTCCCTCCAGTGCTCCAGTCCTACAGAGGTTTCCTTAGCTCATGAAGAGATTGTGGCTCACAAGTTGTGGCTCTCCAGAGCCAGCCAGGGCCAGGATGTGGACCCTCACTGACCCTAGCCTGAGACTATAGCTGCACCACTGGTCCCCCAATGGCTGACCCAGTAATCAGCTTGACTCCAGAAAAGACTGAAGTGTCTGAAAACATCTGCATGACTTGTAAGCAGAGACATGGCTATTTGTGAAGGGAAGGAGAAAAAATACTGGCTCAATGTCTGTTAATTTCTCTGTGTAATCAGCAAACATAGGATCATGAAAATCAAACATGAGACGTGCCACTGATCTGTCAGAGAAAGACAATCCCAATCAATCCAAAATGAGGAGAGAAGAAATCTGGTGTCTCAGCACATTAAAGAATGCATACACTCACTGTCTTCCTTCTTCTCCACTATTACACTAAGACTTAGTCCATGGCTATCACAGCCTCTGCACTGGAAAAACTCTAAGGGGTGAGGAACATCCTCTGTCACACACGGGAAGCTCTGAGGAACAGAAATGGCAGGCAGCAGTCTTTGTACAATATGATGAAAGCCTGTGGCCTTCCTCCAGTGGAGCCATGTTTCTGGGCCCTACACAGTGGGCAGGCCAGGTTCTAGACCCTTTTCTCAAAGATCCCAAAACACCTGTGGCCTTCCTTTTAGGCTGGTGGAGAAGGCAGCAGTTAGTACCCGGTGAGAGGAGGGTGTCTGAGACACTGCAAGGTGCTGACTGTGGCTCCTTACCTTGGGCAGGGGCAGTTCACCCACTCCAAAGCTGAGGCCAGAGGGGAGCCTCCCTTGCCAGTGAGAGATGTGATGCTGGGCAAGGTCACAGGCAAGTCCTCTAGGGGCACTGGCATGGAGCCACAGGCTGGGCAGTGGACAATGGGGATTGGTGTGCCCCAGTAGCGCTGCCTCGATATCAGCCAGTCCTTTAGCTTGTCACTGGTCACGTATCCACCTACTCTCATCCTCCGGGCTTTCTGAGTTAGGGCTAGAAAGGCTTCCTGCCGGGTCATACCTGTGAACTGGGGGGAGGAGAGGAGAGACAGCTGTAAGTGCTCTGTTTCCACTTAGCACCCTGTACCGCTGCATCTGCGTGGCTGTGCCAAGGAGCCGGTTCTGTCAACGCATGTCAGAACTTCCCTGAGCCCTGGCTATATTTGTCTTCACAGGCCCTTTCCTCCTTAAGCCGACATTAAAAATCACATTTTGCCAGGTGTGGTGGTTCATGCCCTTTAATTCCAGCACTTGGGAGGCAGAGGCTGGCAGATCTCTGTGAGTTCAAGGCCAGCCTGGTTTACATAGCAAGTTCCAGGACAGCTGGGGCTACAGGGAGACCCTGTCGCAAAAAAAATAAACAAACAAACAAATGAATAAATAAATAAATGAAATAAAATTAAAAAAATAAAAAATCCTATTTTGCAACTACACTGAAAACAAATGATTTTAAAAGTTCTTGGGTTTTTTTTTTTCTTTTTTTGCTTCCAATTTTTATTTTTATTTTTTGGTCTGTTTGAGACAGGGTCTCCCTGTAGCCCCAGCTGTCCTGGAACTCCCTATGTAGACCAGGCTGGCCTTGAACTCACAGAGATCTGCCTGCCTCTGCCTCCCGAGTGCTGGGATTAAAGGCGTGTGCCACCACATCCGACTATGCTTCCAATTTTTAAAGAAATTAAAATCTTTCCAGAAGCTCCTTGGGCTGTGACACCATGCCCACTGTGTGGTTCATTTCCACTGTGTGGTGGGAAGCTGGCCCTGACTCTGTGGCCCTCCCTCTCCTTGGGTCCTGCAACATCTGCAGAGATAATCACTGTCAGCAGCTAGCTGCCAATGAGGAACTGTGCCATATGCATTTTTTTTTTGTTAAAGTAGAAAACACAATCTTTATTACACGGAGTTAGGGTTGGGGTGGGGGTGGAGACTGCACAGGGAGGTAGAGTCAGACTGAGGAGTGGGCTCTGGATGGGGGAGCTGACAACAAACAAGGCCTTACTGGTGCGGATCCCTAAGGAGGCCCCGCTTGGCAGCCGCACTGCCAAGAATGAAGCCACCGCCATATGCATTTTTAATGACTCTTCCCTCTAGGAGGGGAAACAGCCAGAGAAGAAAAACTCAAGTGTTACCTTAGGGCAAGCAAGGGGCCCAATCTGCCTCAGCTGACAGGACACGCTCTCTATTGAAATGCTTAGACCTCCAGAGGCCAGAATAATTAAATAAAGTGAGCTGTGAGGTTGCCAACAACTGGAATGTGGGCACCCCTGGGATCGGTTCTGCTTGTCTGCCTTGGGGACACAAAGATAAATGCAGTCTGCTGCTGCCCTTAAGGAACTCAGTCACAAGACATGCCAGAATAAGAAAGTCCAGCCATGTTTATCAAAAGGAGCCCCTTTTATTAGTAGTGTGGGGAGTTTTCTCAAAGACAGAGCTTGCTGTGAAGGGGCGGCTGAGCTCTGGGAGAAGTTTTCCAGGCTGCACTCCTAACATTTGTGGTTACACTACAAATCATGACATGCTCTCCTGAAAGCCTGTCTTTTCCAGGTACCACTGTCTGCTGTTCTGGAAGTTCATGAAGGAAAACAGCTTTGATTCACCCTTCTCTGTCCCCTTACTGACAACATTTGGCCTAGGTATTTAGTGAGGAGCCAGGGCAGGATTCAAAGGCCACCTGAAGCTGCCTGAAAGCAGTCAAGGATGGTAACTAATGCTCAGAGTCCCATCCTGAGGAGTGGGGGTTTCCCTGGGCACTGGAGAGGCTGCCTAGTTTTAGCAATGGGTGCCCCCCTTGCCTTTTAGAGGTTAGTTGGGGCTTCCTAGCAGATACCTGGGCTTGGCGCTGCTCTACCCCCAGGACTTACAAATGAGGGCTAAAAAAATAGTTCAACATTTGTCTTTTTTTGTTGTTGTTTTGTTTTTAAAAGACAGGGTCTCATTATGTAGCCCTGGCTGACCTGGAACTCACCACACAGAGCAGGCTGGCCTCAATCTCAGAGATCTGCCTCTGCCTCTCAGTGCTAGGATTAAAGGTATATATCACCCCGCCCAGCTCTACAGTTCATATCTTAAAGAGTGATTCATGTTTGGGGATACAAACATGAAGTCAGGGACTGTTACTCTTTTTAAAGGAGAAAAAAGCCTGGTCATTATTTTCTTGTAGGTAGGTAGGTGGGGGGGGGGGAGAGAAAGAGAGAGAGAGAGAGAGAGAGAGAGAGAGCTAAGTGGCCCCAAGCCTAAAAAACCTAGATCTCCAGAGCCACCTAGGGATGGGGGGACCAGTCAGTGTTTCTCCAATGGTTCAGAATGGGCCAGTATGGGACTACTATGCTGACTCAGAAGTTTCCAGATTTGGGCTCACATTCCAATCAGCTGGGGAGTTGTGTCCACTTCCGATGCCCACTCATGTCCTCACCACCAGTGACCATTAGATCAGAATATCTGGGGTAAGACCCAATCATCTGGCTTTTTTGTTTGGCTTTTTTGAGACAGTCTCATGTAGCCAGGGCTCACTTCAAACTCTATATACAGCCCAGAATAGCCTTGAACTCCTAATCTTCTTGCCTTATCTCCCACATGCTAGGACACTTGGCATTGAAGCCCTAGTATTTTAAAGCACTTTCCAGGTGCTTCCAGTGTGCAGCCTGTTTCAAAGAGAGCTCTAAGTAGTGTCCTTAAATTTTAATGTGCATACAGGGATCTTAGGTGCCTAGGATAGGGGCAGGAGTCCACATTCCCAGCAGTGATGCCAGAGCTGCTGGTCTAGGAACCAGACTTTTAACACCAGGGCTTTAAGTCAGTGAGTCTCAACAGTGGTCCCTGGACTACCACCACCACCACCACTACGTGAAAACTTGCTAGAAATATCCACTTGTGAGGAATGAGAATCTCTGGATGGAGCTTGGCAGTCAGTGTTTTAACAAGGCCAGCAGGATTCTGATACAGCCTCAAGTTTAAGGCTCACTGCTTTGTCACCTCTCACTTTCACTTCCCACCCCTCACCTGACTCTTTCACCATACTTTCTGGTTTAGTTCGGCACAGGCAGGGCTCACATTCTGCGAGACACACCACCTTTGGGTGTTTCTGTCTCACACTAACAAGAGATAACCTTGATCAAGTTAACACAATTCTGAACATCTGTTCATTTCTGTGAGTTAAACTTTAGGTGGAAAGAGCAGATAATCTGGAGAGAGCCACAACCTTCCCAAGAAGAAGAACCAACACCAGCCACCTCTTCCAAGAAGCCAGAGAGTCTTAGGAAGTAACTATTTTTCAAGCAGAAGATTCTCAAATGAAGTTTAATTACTCCATTAACACACTGTTCTAGGGTTGGACTGGATTTTGAGCTAAGAAACTTCCAGGTCTTGAAGAACTGTCTTTTGTTATGAGAGACCAAGCAAGACTGCTGGGTGGAGGAGGTTGGAAGGGCGAGCTGTATGCTCTTCTGCAGGAGCACTTCTCATCACACCCATCATCATACCCCACAGGGTCCTCCTTCACAAGCGAGTTCTTGAACACAGACTGAGGGAACCAACCTCAGCAGATTCACTCAGCCTCTCTGTGCCATCTGGTGAGGTTTCAATGACTTCAGAGTAGGGCAGGTCCAAGGCTTGAGCTAGCTTGCTGTCCTCTGAGTTGGTGTTGGGGATTCCTGTTCAGAGGGAAAAGAACACAAAACATCATTGCCTTCTCAAGTGTTAAAGCAAAGAATCATGACAGCACTGACACCTGGTGTTAGCTTCTTAGAGGAGATGGTTCCTTTTAGTTCAGAAGAAAGTCATATCACAGTATCTTAGAGAACCTGTCACCCTAATGTGCCTGTTTACCAAGTTAGAATTCTTTCCTTTATATATTTTTTGTTTTTCTTCTTTTAAAAGTCATGGTTGCATTCCTAAAATATACCCTACATGTCAATGAAACAGTACGTTACAGGCATAAGGGGAAGCCTTTTCTGAGAATTTCCTCAGTGGTGAGGGACAGTAGTTTTCTGGTGTGAAGCCATGGTGACTCCTGTGGCTTTTTTTTTTTTTTCAGCTGCTAGATCTTTATTTATTAATACATCAGCACATACTATAAACAATCATTTTGGTATTTTTCACAATTGTATTTCAATATTATTGAGATTTTTATCATCCTAGGTTTTTAAAATTATTTATTTAATAACCATATAGTTAAAAGAAGCATTTCATTACACCAGCATTGACATATTCAATAACAATTTCCAGAGCTAAAAGACTCCTGTGGCATTTTAAAGATTCCCCAAGTAGGGACGTGGAAAGCTGGAGTCTGTCTGTGTTCCCATGCAGCAGTATATTCTGAATAGGCATTTATTCTTCAACTCACACATGTACAACAAATCACTCACCCAGAGGGCCCAAGGCCTGCTGCTTTGGCTTCAGCTATGCATAGAAACTGGCTTTGCTGGCTGATTCTATAGGGCAGGGTTCCTTGACTCTGGTACTACTGACAAGATGGACAAACCCTGGCCCCGCCCAGCACCACTCCCTCAGCTGGGACAAACAAAAAGTTTCCCAAATCACCAAATGTCTTCTGGTCCCTGTACCAGGAACGGTGGCTCATGCCTTTAATTCCAGCACTAGGGAGGCAGAGGCAGGAGGATCTCTATGAGTTCCTGTTTTACATAATGAGTTCCACGCCAGCTGGGGAGAACCTGTCTCAAAAATAAAGACCCCCCCCCCAAAAAAATGTCTCCTGATGCTGAGACCTCTACTGTAAGATCTCCCATGGAAAATACTGACATGCTATGAGCATGATATGCTAGTGAAAGGTCACACACAAACTCAAGCCAGTTCTTCTGAGGGGGGTGGCTTAGGGTTCAGGAGATGTGTCTGAAAGCTCCATGGTATATTTCCAAGCGAGCTATGACAGAAAACACCAAGTGAAGTGAATGAACGTCAGGTGGACTGAAGGGTAACAAAAAGGGCAACAGTAAATAGAACCAAGTATTCACAGTCCCAAGGGGAAAACGGTCACTTGCCACATTCCCAGTGTCCTGCCTAGGGTGACTCAGGGATGCTCTGAAGGCATCTGAAGAGCACTCTGGAAGGTGACTAATTGGGCAGGAGGGATGATGGAAATTCTGCTTCATTCTTATTTGTTTCTGCTTCAGTCCTTAGGGTGCAAAAAGCAGTAATCTAGAAAATACTAATTACACAACTGAAAGAAATCAAGATAACAGGAAAAATAATTTTCCATGTACACCTAAAAAAAATTATTTTCAATCAGAACCTTAATATTGTGTCAGTGGTTTCAGTAGGGGATGCTCCTTGCTCTGTGTGGAAGGAGCTGTCTCCAGAAAGGCTTGGTGCTTTGGAGCCTGGCTGGGATCTCCTGCAGGGAAGTTGGTAAAGAGAGGTGCTCGGGCCTGTCCCTGGTGCTGGGGTCTGTCTCTAAGGCAGATTTTGGATAGGGCTGTCATAACTTTCTCATCTTTTGTTCACTTTCAGACTTCCTGCCACAGGATGATGGCTGAGATCACTCACAAATGAGTAAGGTTGCCAAGGACATCTAATTATACCTCTAAATATGTCTCCATTTACTGCTTCACAGCCCTTTCTTGAGTAGCTAAAGTTTATTTCCTCCACACCACCAAAAACCTACTCCACATCAATCGCATGTGCTTCGGAACCCCACCTCTACACTTTCTGGTGGCCCTATGAATTTTACCGTTTGTTTTTTGAGACAGGGTCTTACTATTGTAACCCAGGCTGACCTCAAACTCAAGAGCCTCCTGTCTCAGCCTCCTCAGTGCTCGAACTAGAGTCACACCTGGCTTGGACTTTGAAATTAGGTTTTCATTCTAGGTTGTACCACATATCCAGGTGCAACCAACTGACTCTTGAGCCATGAACCTTGATCTTTATTCTCAATATCAACCAGGAAGGTATGATATACCCAGTATGCTTTCTTCTTTTTAACAAAATGTAAAAATGTTTTTATTTATCATTATCATTATTAGTGTGTGTGTGTGTGTGTGTGTGTGTGTGTGTGCGCGCGCATGCACATGTGCATGTACATGTACGTGTGAAGGGTCAGAGGCCAATTTCCAGAGTCGGAGTCCAGGAACTGAACTCAGGTTGTTAGGCTTGTGTGGCAAGCACTTTTACCAGAGCCGTCTTATCACCCTCCTAATATCCTTTAAAATATACTTTTTTTTTCCCCTTTGGTCTTTTTGAAGCAAGGTCTCCCTGTAGCCCCAGACCACCTGGAACTCACTATGTAGACCAGGCTGGCCTCAATCTCACAGAGATCTACCTGCTGCTGCCTGCCAACTGCTGGGATTAAAGATGTGTGCCACCACAACCCAAATAATACTTTTATATTTTGAGACAGGATCTCATTGTGTAGCCTTGGCTGGCTTGGAACACAGAGATCCATCTATCTGCCTCTGCCTCCTGAGTAATGGGATTAAAGATATGCAGCACTACCTGATTTCATACTTTTTTAAGACAGGGTTTCATCATGTGCTCCAGACTGGTTTTAAATTTGCAATCCTCAGTCTCTCGAATGCCGAGATTACAGGTATGTACCACCATGCTCTTGAAAATATAGTTCTTAACTAAACAATGATTAAATAGAAGGGTAAGGGACTGGGAATATAGGTCACTGTAGAGTGCTTGGTGAGCAAGTGTGAGGCTCTGGGTTTGGGCAGGGGTGGGGATGCCCTCATTTTCATGAAGAGCCAAAACACATCACAGAGCCAACAACAAATTCCTCCAAGGGACAGTAAGCGCTGCAAACCCTTTGGTCTTAAATCTTCATAATTTATAGCGGGGATGACATTTAAACAGATACCTACCTATTTTTGAATCCAGAGAGCCTTCCAAGTCAGCCTTGGCCATGATGACGACAGGGACTTCCCGCAGGGTGAGCATGTTCACAGCCATCACTGACGTGAGGCAGTCTGAAAACAAGAGCAGACCATGACACAGAGGGGACAAGGGAGAAAAAAGCAGCATTATATCTTCTGTGTTGTGTGCTAATTATTAAAGAATTGGTCCTTTGAGGGGTATTAGCAGATCATTCATACCAGTGGAAAATCACAAGACTAAACAGGCACATGAGAAAAGCCTTGTCATGTGCAGAGCAAAGAGAACATTTCAGCTCTCCAGATGGTAAAGCTGCTCTCATTACCACCTTTCACTTTTCAAAAATATCTCCAGTAGAGAGGATAATAAAACACAGGAAGCCTAGCTGCGGTGAAAGGAGGAGACATCTGAAATTCGACATCAAATGGATGACCATGTGAAGAGCAAGCAGAAAATGGCTGAGCAGAAAGCAGGAAAGCCTTCCAGACATCCAAAGACAACACAGTGCCATCCCACGCACTCTTTTCTTAGGAGACACTGGAGGATGTGTTCCAGCAAAATGAAGGGCTAAATGGAGAAAGAGACAGGTGTAGGATCTAGGAAACATGGATACCACAAAAAAAAAAAAGCTACAAAAATACACAAGAATGAAGACAGAGGGGAGGTCTGAGGTGCAGCTGAAACCTGGAAGGTGACCAGGTCAGACCAGCAGAATACCATCCAGGAAAGTGAGGGAACTGATAGATTATTTGGCAAGTCAGAATTTGGAGAAATTTGTATTAAGAAGAGTTTTAAAAAGCTGTGGAGAGGATGCGGGAAGATTAGCCAGAAATTCAAAGACCACAAAGCAAGTGAGATGTATACACACACACACACACACACACACTCACACACACACACACTCACACACACACCCCACACTCACACCCCCCACACACACACAGAGAGAAAGAGGGAGAGAGACAGAGAGAATTTCAGGAAAAAAAAAGTTACAAAAGAACCAGAAAGTAAGGTTGGACCCGGTGGTACATGCCTATAATCCCAGCACTCTGGAGGTTGAGGCAGGATTGTAAATTTGAGGCTAGTCTGAACTACACAGTGAGTTTCAGACCAGCCTGGGCTACACAATAAGAGCCAGTTTAAAAAACAAACAGGACAATGTAATCATAGTATACATGGCCCAGTTGTGAATACTTAGGAGGTCACAGTAAATGATTTAAAATTTACCCAAACACTGTATCATCTGGAATGAAGTTTATTACAAGGACAGCCTGCCATGCATGCAAACATCCTTGCTGGTATGTGGGCAGGGAGCATATGTATAGACCCAAAGTCCAGAGGAAGGAAGGAGTTCAGAGGAAGGAAGAGCAGGAACCAACTTTGGTGAATTCATCTGAGTCCATCCACAACACCATTAACAAGAGCTGTAATTGGCTGACCCTTGCAATTCACACTGAGCAACACTTGTTTCAAGCATAGTCATCTAGAACAGATCCTACAAACTCTCAAATTAAAATCAGCCCAGGAATTAGGATTTACATTTCAGAGGTAAAGGCAGGGTCTGTAGGCATCAGGCTAACTTTCTATTTTGACATTTGGGATGTCAGCAAGTACTAAGGAGGGTGGGGCAGGGTAGAACTCAACCAGTGGGCCTCAGAAGTGTAGGTGCGGCCAGAACTCACTGTGAACACAGTCCAGCTGCCAGCCTCTTGCTGCTGGGGCCCGTGGGGCCCCACATCTCCAAGTGGGGACCCATGTTTCTAGTTCCATAGTGCCCTTTCTCAGAGAGGAGATGTGTACTAGCAATCTCTGCAATTATGCTATAACATTATTAAGAGGTGGCAAGGTGAGGGGGTGGGAAAAAGTGAAAATCACCAGGTGATGGCTGCTAACTCAGAGAATGGAGACACCAAGACAGATGCAGACACAGGTCTGTCAGGGCAACCACTCTGGACATCAGTTATCAGCTGACCCCTGTACCCTCCTCCTCTACTGCATACTGAATAGCAACACTGCCCTGCCTCCTGTGCAGCTCAGTGTGGCCATGGGCTACACAAAGAAGCAACTTGTAAGTCAGGATCTAAGGGAAAGGGCAAGCTGGGCACAGTGGTGCTTGCCTGTATTTCTAGCGCTCAAGAGGCTAGGGCAGAATTACCTTGAGTTTGAGGCCAGTTTGGGCTACACAGTAAATACCAGGTCAGCCAGCACTGTACAATGAGACCCTATGAAGGATAAATGTCTCAACTTGGAAAGCCCCAAGCCAGGTTGAAAGGGCTACAGAACCAAGCTAATAGCTGAGGAAAACATATGCCAACATATTATCCCAAACCCTCAAACCTAAAAAACAAACAAACAACACCCCCCAGAGGAACTGTAGAAAAATACCTGGTCTTTCCTCTTTGCACCCCCTTATAAACCTTACACCAACTGTGCCTCTGTACAGTTTCCACCCCGTAGAGAAATTGCTGCCCATCACTGTTCTGATAAAGAGCAACCTGCTCCTGAGGTTGGTCTCATCTTTCATTCTCACGTCACCCTGGTCAATTCTGATCTAGTATTTTTTCTTTTTAAAAAAATATTTGATTATTTTTATTTTATGTGTATACATGTATTGCCTGCATGTAGGTTAAGTGCACCCATGTCGTGTAATGCCCAAGGAGGACAGAAGAGGCCGTCGGATCCCCTGGAACTGGAGTTACGGACAGTTGGTAGCTGCCATGTGGGTGCTGGAATTTGAGCCCAGGTCTTCTGCAAGAACAGCCAGTGTTCTTAACCACAGAGCCAGATATCTCTCCAACCCCCGATCTAATATTTTCTAACACCCTGTCTTACAAAAAGAAAAAGGCACGACCTTCTCCCCAAGAATCATTCCTCTTTACTGAAACACAATAGGTGGAGTGCCTTGGAAAACCCTAGCAGGGCAGAGGAGGAAGACAGGAGGCACACTGCCTCTGGCCACCCTATACAGGCCCACTCAGCTTCATAAGGGGAGAAAGAAACTCAGCCATGGCTGCCTGAGGACTCTGGTAGCTGCAGTCATATTGCTGGTATTCTTTGACTTTTCATGTAATATGGGTGGGTTAATCTGTCCTTTTTTCCTGTGTGTGGAGCTGGGGATCCAACCTAGGGCTTACATATGCTAGGCAAGCACTCCACCACTGAGCTACAGTAAGGCTTATCACTTGGATTTTTAAAAATAAATCACTTTTTAAAGAGAGCTGAAAATGAATTTTGAACTGTTATCATTTTACACTTAATAAGTTAGCCAAGCGTTAAGAACCTGGGGTGAAGTCGCAGTGAAACTCACCTATCCCTGGGTATGTGCTGTAAACTGATAAAACTCTTCCAGAAACCAATAAAAGCAACATGGAATGGAGCTAGAAAAACGATCAAATTTTGGAAACCGAATCCTGTCTTGGGGGGTGTCTTCTCAGGGATGCTATGAAAGCAAAAGCTAATGGACATAAATGTCTATACTCACTATCTCCTTAAAAAATTTTTTATTGTTCTTTTTCTTACTGGTACTGGGAATCAAATCCAGTACCTTGAGCATGCTAGGTAAGTGCTCTCCACTGAGCAACATCCCAGCCCCACAGCAGCCATCTCCATTATAACATTAAAAAGAACAAAAATCAAACAAGTGTTGCTGAGCGGCATGGCACATATGTGTAATATCATCGCAGGGAAGCTAAAGCAGAAGGTTGGTGAGTTTGAGGCTAGCCTGGGCTGTGTAGTGAGACTTTGCCTCAAAATAAGGAGGAGGCAGTGGAGGGAGAAGAGAAAACCAAATTTCATCCTGATAAGTAAGGTTTAGGATATAGTATTTCTATGTATGGGTTAAAAATAACTGGAAGAGACAGACATGTCAGAGGACATCCTCGCCTGATGCTCTCGGCAGTGTCTAGCTCTTTCTAGTCATGGCTTATATAATACCTAAGTCAGAGGTGTCAGCTGAGACCAGGGAGTGACATCAGTGGTTACTGAAGCCAATTCCAAGAACTCTGGGCAAGCACTGAATTTGTTTCTCTCGTAAAGGAATCTGTGTTGTTTGCTAAGCAAAAATCCAGTACATTTAGTCAGTACCATGAGCAACCTAGTCAAGCCAGGCCAGAGATCAGGGAGCTGACTTAGGATCCTCCACACCTGCTACCTTCCAGGCAGTTCTTGGAGCTGGTCCCTCTTCTTTACTGACTCCTGTGGTTTTGTGGTCTTCACCATCTCCCACCATAACTAACTCAATAAGCTGGTCCCTTTGGGCACAATGCCACTCAAGCCTGACCCTGTCCACACGAGTCACCTTTCTCAGAACTCCTCAAGGCCTCTTTTCCCACAAGGACCACCTAAGATTATCAAACACAAGTATCTGTTACCTACCTGCTCAGCTAAGAAACCCAAATTCACAAGTGCTATGACCTTCCCTAGTCATAAAGATGCCAGATTCCTCTAGTTATTTTGTGTTACTGGGGATTGAACTGTGTGTGCATACTAGGCAGGTGAAATACATTCCTGGCCCTGGGACCAGATTCCTGGTTGTCCGTGGCAGATCAGGTGCCAATATGCAGAAACCAATGCAAAGACGGCAGGAACTATAGTCTTACCATTAGAACCAAGAATTGCAGACTGAGTTTCCAGTACTGCCATGACCCTCAGTGGTCACTAGCTTTAACATTCATTACCCTAAAATCCTGATACTGAACAAAAGAGTGAGCCAGCAGTGATACAACATTTGGGCCTGAAGTATAATCCACATACAGCAGGAGGCACTGCCACAGCAGGCATGGGTCACAGCAGACCTGGGCACAGGGCCCACAGGTCACAGTGGGCATAGGCATGGAGCCTGCAGGCCACAGCAGACATGGGCATGGGGCCCAAAGGTCACAGCAGGCATGGGCTACAGCAGGCATGGCCCACAGTGGGAATGGGCCCATAGCAGGCACAGGCCCATAAGCTGTAGGAGGCACAAGCCCACACCAGACAAGCTCATAGCAGGCATGGAAAACCGCATTGCACTCAGTGCACCAAGCTGGCATTGACAAAGCCCAGGGTCTTGATAGATGCTAACTGGTCTACAGACTGAATGAACTGATATCTGCGAAAAAGGTATTTTCCCTCTGAAAATTAGAATTGGAAAAACTTGGTGCCAAGTATAACATTCCATTTGGAAAGACTTCAGAATTACTGCAAAGAGGGAGAAGCAGCTAAGGAGCCCTTCTAAACAGAACATTACACTTGGCACTCAATTTGCCAAAATGAAACGACCAGGCCAGTGCAGTGTGCCAGTGCCCAAGTGGTCACGCACACATGGCTGCTCACATACATTCAGATATTACTCAGCTTCTCACATGAAGGTGCTTTGAGTTCATGGTGTCTTTCCTCTCAGGAACTCCTATTTTTTTAATAACTTATTGGTTCATTAATCTACTAAAATTATTTCATTTTGCGGCCCAAAATGAACTGTGAGAAAACAAGTGTATGGGCTAGATTTTCAGTGTTAGAGTCTTAAACTATCACAGCCCTCAAGGAATCTCAAATTGCTCACTGGTTTTCCCTTCAAACAGGTGAAAAGAATGTGGTTTGTTGTTGTTGTTGCTTCTTTTGCTTTGTTTTTCTTTTGGGCAGAGAAAACAAACCTGGGAGGGTAAACCTCACGGTCAATTTGACTGGATTTAGAGTCACCACGGAAACACATTTCTGGGCATGTATGCAAGGCTGTTTCCAGAAAGATTTAATTGGGGAGGGAAGACCCACCCTGAATGTGCCACACGATAGTTCCATGGGCTGGGGTCCCAGATTGAATAAAGAGGAGAAAGTGACTGAGCACCAGCATCCATTCCTGTTTCCTGACTGTGGAGATGTGACGGCTGCCTTGTGTTCCTGTTGCCTTGACTTCCCCACCCTCACTGTGAGAGAAAACAGACCCTTCTCAGAAATTTTGTCACAGTGATGAGAAAAGTAACAAATACAGAACACAAGAACAAGAGTGAGCAAGAGAGAGAGTGTGAGCAAGAGAAAAAGAGAGAGAGACCCTATGAGCACAGGCAACTTTAACTCCTGTCTTTTCTCCATTTCAATATGGAACAAAAAAGAAGAGAAGGCAGGTAACTGATGTGCCTTGTGCTGAGTGGATGCCTTCTCTTCTGATCCAGAGGCACCTACAGGGCCGTCAAAGGCCCAGGGGTGACAGAGGACGGCCTTCCATGTTCTCAGGAAACAATTGTTCTTGTATCATCCCCATGTTTCGAAATAAAAGGTAAAAACTATGGCTAAGGGGAAGAACACATCATGAAAATGGCACGTGAGAGGTGCACAGGCCTTGTGCATTTCTGTCCAGCTGAGGGAGGTGATGGAAGGTGCACAGGTTGTTGTGTACACTTCTGTCCAGCTGACGGAGATGGCTCCACCGCCTGTGCTTCACCCTGAGCTCACCTCTGCCAGGAACCAGCGTCTTCTGCAAGGCTTCCTTCAGAGAGCTGCAGCCGTGCAGGAGCCTGTGGCTGGGAGTGATGGCCACATGGGAGGCACCGTAAATGGCCTCAGGGGTGGCTGTGTAGGCTGTCAGCTTCTCTCCCGTGTCCTGCCCATTAACCTGGCAGGAGGAAACACATTTCATTCTCAGTTCTCCCTGTGGGATGCATGGTTCCCCAACCATGTTCCAACCCTTCCCTCATTTCCAAACGGTGGTGACAGCTTCTGAGCACAGGACCAGGGCTGTGGGCAAGCGGTGGGGCCCAGAAGGGGCAGAGAATTGGGGTGAAATCCTTGGTCAGTTCCTGTTCCTGCCCAGCACCAGGTATCCCCAGATGAAGGTGGAAAAAGCATGCTCAGAGAGAAGCCCGCCTGGTTCTCTTTCTGCTGGACAGTGCTGCAGTTAGGCTGCTGTACATTTGATGAACTCCAGAATGCAGGAGATCTGTGGGCAATGCTGGAGTCCTGCTGTGTCATCACCTTTAATGTGAAGTCCAGGTGGCAGCCCACACACTCCCCGATCCAGTGGGCCTGCATGCCCTTTATTCCGTACCACTCCGGAAGATCTGCCAGTGCATCCTGCATGGCCTGGGGAAAAGAAGAGAATGGAGAAACAGGGAGCAAATGATCTGGGCTCTGAGGTAGAGATGGTGACAGCACCAAAGGAGGCTCTGGACTTGAAGCTCCCTCACTGGCTTGCCGAGTCAGCAGGGGCAGTAAAGGATAAGAGGGGTACTCAGTTCTTAACCCAACTGAGCAAGAGGGGTCTCACCGACCTCTCTGGTCAAGGTTCAAGGTTCACTGACAGAAGAATGTTTACTGAGAAGTACCCCGATTCACACCTTTGCTGAATCTGTTTACAGTGTTCTCTGCAACAGTTCAGGGGTCAAAAGAAGTTCATTATCTGCAAATGAACTCCATCCCCTAGATCCCTGCCTGTCACAGAACATTCCAGTGTACTGCGTCCAATTCCTATGGCACTACACAGCACCCTGCCCAACACTGATGAACTACTCCTACAAAACCTCACCTGGTCTTTCTTCCTTTCTCCTCCTCTATTTCTTGTTTTTCTTTTTTTTTTTCTTTCATGTTTTTGAGACAGGGTCTTACATAGCCTGGGCTGGCCTTGAACTTCTGATGCTCCTGTCTCCATCTCCTGAGTGCTGAGATTGCAGCGGTGGGCAGTGGTACCTGGCAGCCAATTTTTTTTTCTCCTTCCTGACTGAATGTCAAGGTTGGGAAAACTCCTGCTGGAGGTGCTTAGGTTTAGAATATTCAGATGGAGATGAGGATTAAACAGCCAAATAGGCTAAAATGTGAAAATGTTTTCACATGCTAATTCTGGGCAGATGCCTGCCTAAAATCAAAGCAAATCTATGAATATTTTTACAAAATGAAAGAAATTTTTAAAAATGACCAAATGAAACCAATGAAGCACCAAACAAGCTCTTTCCAGTTTTAAGGCTGGTTTTGGATGAACAGGGTTTCAGGGAGCACCTCACAAATCAACTCCAGTTGACCTCTCCTCTACCATGGGCTGCCCCATCGAGGCTCCACGGTACTAGAGCACACCACAGCACAGCAACACACACTCAGCCGGGGCTTAGGCCACAGCCTTCCTCCTTTGGTGGGAGCTGCAATTACAGAGCCAGTGGGCAGTTCTGCTTTCATCTCTAGTCTCCACCTTGGCAGACAGAGCTGGAATGCCTCGTCCCCACCCCGGCAACCACAAGCAGAGAAAGAATCCCAAAAATCTTAGGAAATAGCAGGTTTTAGAGTCTAAAAAAAAAAAAAAAAGCCCCGTTCATCTAAAACCAGCCTTAAATAAATGTGTTTATTACACAGGGAACTGAATAGAGCTTGTTTGGTGCTTCAAGATGTTGCTTTCATTTGGTCATTTTAAAAAATTTCATTCTTGACTGAGGATCCAGGGTTGATGGGGCACACCTATAATCCTAGCACATAGAAGGCTAAGGCAGGATGACCTGACTGAGTTCAAGGCCAGCCTGGGCTAAGCAGTGAGAGCCTGTCTACAAACACACAAACAAAAGTGTCAACCCCAAAATGCAGCTCTCACCTCAAATGGTTTATTCTGGAGCCAAGTAAGAGTAACCATGGCCCAGGAACACAGATTTAGTTTGCCCAAATTCCATGTTCCAGTGTGATAACATTTTTATAGTAACTGAACAAGGGACATCATAAATCAAGGCACTTTTAAAACACATTGGTAGAGACGTCAGAGAGGCAGGTTATAGCAACAAAGCAGGACATCACTGCTATAGGCCTAGATGCTGCCTGACAGCATTCTTAGGCCTCTGGTGGGTTGGACACTGGGGGGGGGGGTCTGTTTGTATATTCCAAAGGATTTACCTAAGATTTTAGGTCAGATACAGAGGAGGGCAATAAATGGCTCTTAAGGGGGCTATAGATGTCCCAAGACAATATGGCTCTAGAGTTGCAACATTTCAACCTCTCCACATCACTGAAGTTCTGATCAGTTAATCAGTCTTGCAGATGCTTCAGTGGAAGCTGTGGTTCTTTTCAGGAACTAAGTTCATGAGTCAATCGAAGCCAGTATGTCAGAGGTGGAAGAAGGTACCTTCTCCCTCTCTGACCTGTCCACAGACTCCCCCCATTTAATAAAGGCAGTTAAGTAAAACTGCTGTGGGAAGTGAGGTGTCCATTGTAGTGAACCTCTGTGCTCCTGCATGGAAGACCCCATCCATCCATCTTCCCTCATGGGTGCCTCAGCACAGCTGCCCACAGGACACCACCCACATGACTGCAAGCCTAGGTCATGCCACCACAACTCACTCTCAGTCAGTGGCTAAGATCACACTCATGGTTCACAGTAAACAACGCTAGAAGGCTTGGGCAGGGGCAAGAGGAGAAAAGTCAAATGCATCACACAGCACTCTTAATCAAGTGTTTTTCTACTTCAGAGTTCCCCTATGCCAGTTTAGTCCCAGCAACTGGTTCTTGCTACATGGGAAAAGTGACTTCCTTTTTGTTTAAGCCATCATGACTTGGGTTTTCGCTTACTTGCAGCTGAAAGCTTTCTTAATTGATCCAGTATCTCATCCTTATCCATATAGCAGGGCTTCTTCATTAATTCAAGATTAGTTCTATCATTCCAGGCTTTCAATATGTCTTATCTCATTTGAAGTTACCATATTTTGAAGTTCTGGACCAAACTTCAAAGTGGTCTGCTGGCCACCACAAAGTCACAAGCATGATAATTTTCTGTACCTCAGAAAGTGGTCTGAGCTTAGCATTCAAGTCAGGCCTTCCTGGGTACTACTGATGCCTGCATCCTGTCGTCCACTATATCATCAAGCCCAGGGGGCTGTGTCTTGAATACTGTTCTAACCTACTGACTTCCCACTACTTCTCCCACCTAAGCCCAGGTTCTGAATGCTGGGGCCTTTGCAAAAGCATTCAGACTAGTGTCTGTAGTACACCTGCCCTTTCCACAATGATCTTACAACATAAGTCAGCCCACCACTCCCTTCTTTACAATCCTTTCATGATTTCATGTAGTTCTCATGCTGAAGTCCAAGCTTGTCAAACTGGATCCAGCCCCTAATCCCCTCTCCAAACCTATCTGGGGTTTCCTTGCATGGCTCTCATTTAAGGTGCAGCATCCATCCTTCAGCTTCTCACTCAGGCCCCTCATGCACATCTGTCAGGGTCACTAAACATGTGCTTCCTGTATGTGGTGGTGCTGGTGTGGGGAGCGTCTGGTGACTTTTAGTCTACTCTGCTCCTTGTTTTCCTCTGTAGCCCAAGTACTGAGGCTTACGTTTCAGATGTTGTATTTTTCTGTTTCAGATTTCCAAGTGGTTCATTTTTAAAGGTATTTTCTGCTTTTCTGAGATGGACTATGACCATCTTTTCCTTTAAGTCCCATTCATTTACATAACAGATGCTTTGGTGTTATTCATTAACTCCAATATCTGGGTCACCTCTGGGTCTATTTCTATTGGACTGCTTTTTTTGGGGGGGGGGAATTGAGGGCCATAGTATATTTCTTTTTTATAAATCTAGTGATTTTTATTTTTAATGTTTTATTTATGTTTATGTGTTTGAGTGATTTGCCTGCATGTAAGTCCACCATGTGCATATAATACCTATGGAGGCCAGAAAAGGGTATCAGATTTCCTCGGACTGGAGTTAGGGACAGTTGTTAGCCACCACATGGGTACTAGAAACGGAACCTGAGTCCTCTGCAAGAGCAGAAAGGGCTCTTAACCACTGAGCCACGTCTCCAGTCCCAATCTGGAGATTTTTATTACATGTTGGACACTTTGGATAAAACTCTGTAGGGGACTGGGCATGGTGGCACACACCTTTAATCCCAACACAGGCAGAGGTAGGTGGATTTCTGTGAGTTCAAGGCCAGCGTGCTCTACATAGTGAGTTCCAGGCCTGCCAGGACTACACAGTGAGACCAAAACCAAGGGTAAAGGGGTTGCTCAGCAGTTAAGAGCACTGGCTGCTCTTGCAGAGGACCTGGGTTCAGTTCTCAGCACCCACACAGTAGCTAACAATCATCTGTAACTCCTGTTCCAGGGGATCCAACACCCTCTTCTGGTCTCCATGGACACTGCACACAGGTGGTACACATCCATCCATGGAAGCAAACACTCATACACATTAAAAAAAAAAAATAGTGCTGGGTACGGTGGCACATACCTTTAATTCCAGCACTTGGGAGGCAGAGGCAGGTAGATCTCTGTGAGTTCAAGGTCAGCCTGGTCTACATAGTGGGTTCCAGGCCAGCTGGGGCTACAAGGAGACCCTATCCCCAAAAAAAAAAAAAAAAATCAAAACAAAAAAACAAAACACAAAAACAAAAAAATTAAAAAAAAACCCAAACCAAAGCAAACCAAACCAAACCAAAACCAAACCAACATGCTGTAGGGCACTGGGTCATACTGACCCACCTTTAGAGGTTCATTTTCTTCCAAAAGTTGGGTCTAAGCCTCTCAGAGGCTTGCTTCCATTCTTCCATAAGGCTGCTCAGTTCTGTTTTTGTTCTCAGACCTAGGGTGTCATCCATGCTTCTAAACATGGCCTTTGGGCTCCCAACTCCTCTCCTGGCCTGGGATTACCCAAAGGTCTCTGTGTGCCACACAGCCTGGGTCTGGTCTGCTCTCTTCTCAGAGCCACTGCCTCCCCCAGCATCATGGATTTTCCCTCCCCATCTTCTCCTGATTTTCAGTGCTGACCTCCAAAGAGCTTTTTCAATAAATCTGCACAGGAGTTCAGCAAGAACCAAGAGTCACCATGGCAACTCACCATTTCTGCTGAACAGTTGAGAATTCACAGCTGACAGTTTAAAGAAGAATGTCCCTGGTTAGGTTATTACATTTCCAACTCAAGGCAGAGGTCAGACCACAGGAACTAACCAGACAACCTTCTAATACTGCCATTAGAGTTGCTGGCGGGTTGGGGAGGGCACTGATACCCCTTCTTCCCAATACTGTCATTACAGAATCTCAGGCAGGTTGGGGAGGGGCCTGGTACTCCCTCCTTCCCAATATTGCCATTACAGTCTCCAGCAGGTTTAGAAAGGGGACTAGTACCCCTCTCAGGAACACAGTGGACCCGAGGCCAGTAGAGAGAGGTCACTGGCCCGAGCTGCACAGAAAACCACATCCTTAGCTTTGCTCTCCTCCAGTGCTTTAGGCAGTGCTAAGAAGTTCTACTGAGTCTTGCCCAGATCCATATACGAGGTCAGCTACATCTGAATGAACTATAATGGAAATGAATCTCGATGAGGACAGTCATTAGAGAGAGGCGAGACACTGGGGGGCTGCTGAGTTGACGTTGCAGTTCTGGTTTGGCCCTGCGTGTGGTAATCAGAAGTAGTCTAGGGCTCTGTGCTTTTCTCTGCACGTAAGCTATGTGTCTTGGATCTGATCCAAGTCACCTGCAGATGTGACCCAGCTCTGTCAGGGCATACCATGGCTGCCTTAGAAATTCAGTCAGCTCAAAGCACACCTTGTTCTGAGCATCACACACAAACAGAACTCATGATTTTGTCCAGGCCACTGTGACTTAGTAAAGCAGCTCTGCTTCCGCTGTGGGCTTTGCCCTGCACCGCTGAATAAAGTCAGCCACATGGCATCTCAAACAGTATCAGACCTAACATGCTCATCTTACTGATGAGAAAATGGAGGCCTGGGGCCAGCCTGCATGGTTAGCCAGCAGCATGGAAGACTCACATCTGGAGCTTCTGACTTGGTCCAGCTCATTGCTACCCTGGCCTTCCCTTCTGGAGACCACCCATCTCCCCACTCCTAGGTCACTTTTCCTGGGTCATGGAGTTTCACAAAGGTTCTTCCCCTATTTTGGGGGGAGGGTATACACAACTGCTGATTTACTTTCTACCATTTTCCGGCAGCTCAGCAAACAATGGCCTGCAATGACCTCCAGGTGCCGTTCCTGTTAAAACTATGAGACCTAAGCCTACCACCCTCTGTGTAAGTGGCACTCTGACCTCCCACCTCTGGGGGCTGTGCTTATGGTCCTCCAACAGAGTGGATCCTCAGCACCTAGGGGATCCAGGTGCTATCTGCCCATATACTAGGTACTACAGGGAGTCTCCAGGCCACTGCTCACCTTTGCGTATGCAGTTGTCTTAATGAACCACTGTCGGAGGTACTTCTGTTCCACTTTTGCTCCAGAACGCCACGAATAGCCGTACTCATTCACTTGCTCATTGGCCAGCACCGTTTCATCCACTGGGTCCCAGTTAACCAAGGCCTGTTAGGATTCAGGAGGCAGAAGGGTGCACTGTGGTGAAAACCCTGTGCAAGGTCCCCTGGAGAACAGGCTTGTAGTGTAACAATGCGGCTCAAGGTTGTTTCTGTCAGGGTGATAAGAAAAGTAACTAACACAGCTAATGTCCCCTGAAACCTGACTTCTTAATGCTATTTAATTTTAGTTACTTTACACCACCACACTGGCTGCAGCATGGCTGCAGGCTATACTGTAGTGCTCTTGCCTGGTATCCTACCATTCCAATCCTTACCTGCAAATACTGAGCTCCTGACAGAACAAGCACATCCACCTCTCAGAAGGCCTCGGTAAGCAGCACTGGAGGAGGACATGCTGCTTTTTGTTTGGTGTCAACGGTGGGGCCCAGAGCCTTGCACAAGCTAAATGCATGCTTTATCATTGAGCTACAATCCTGGTCCCACAGTTTCAATCTTCCTGAAGGATGATGTCAGTACCCCAGTCAGCAGAGGAGAAACCACACTCCTGGAGGATCACTTTCCTGGCTGGTCTCATTGCTGGGAGGGCTGCAGGCTAGGATGTGAGAGCTCCTGCTAAGCTCTTTGCTTCTCACAGGCAGGAGATACAGCGCCATGAGCCTGGAACTCAAAGGTGGAAGAAGCCCGGACCCTGTGCTAGGGCCCAGGTCTGCTGTGGACAAGTCTATTAACTTGACACACTGTTCACTTCCACTGCTACTGTGCAAACAGGATTTTATTTCTTCTTCATGTAACAGTGATGAATCCTAAAATGGAAATTTACAGAATTTTAAAAAGGCAGCTGAAGAGAACTTACTTCCTTTTGATAGGCCAGTCCAGCTTCGTAGAGTTTGATAAACAGGTATTGAGTCCATTTGTAGTAATCTGGCAAACACGTAGTGACTTCCTGCCAAAGAGGAAGAAGCATCAAGCACAGGCAGGCACTGCAACCATTCTTCTACCACACATGCCTTGGCCTTGTGATTCAGTTCTCAAAAGTACTGAAATTGCAAAAGTATTGACCAAACTATTTCCACTGGCTCAAAAAGTGAGAGAAGCAGCCATTTATTGTGGGAGGAGAGAAAGATGCAATTGGATCATTTCCCCACTCGTCTTAGACACATTCAGTAGTAAGAAACTCTCATTTTTTTTTTGCATCCTCTATAACTGGTGAGTTATAGGAAAGAAAACAGCTATGAACTTTTTTTTAAAAGATTTTATTTTTAGGGGCTGGAGAGATGGTGTAGCCAAGAATACTTGCAATCCTTGCAAAGGATCCAGGTTCAGTTCCCAATACTCACATGGCAGCTCCATCGCCCTCTTTTGGCCTCTGCTGGCACTGCATACATGCCAGGTACATATACATATAAGTAAAACAGTTATACACATAAAATAAATAAATCTTGGGCTGGACAGATGGCTCAGCAGTTAAGAGCACTGGCTGCTCTTGCAGAGGACTCAGGTTTTCATTTTAAAGATTTTATTTTTAAGTATGGGGGGCAGACATGGACATGCTACACAAGTGTTCTACATAGGAGTGTAGTTGCCCTCAGAGGCCTGAAGAGGGCTTTGGATTTCCTGGTTCTGGAGTTATATGCAGTTGTAAGCCACCTGACATGGGTGCTGGGAACTGAATTTAGATCCTCTTGAAGAGCAGCAAGTGCTCTTAACTTCTGAACCATCTCCCTAGCCTCTGCAGGTATATCTTCTGAAAAAAAAAAAAAAAA